GCGGTTAAGATTTTGTGCCCAACTGTTGATGCCCGCACGCACAGACGGCCGGACGCACGGACACACGGACGATCATGCGATTCTACAAGCTGCATCTGACTACGTCAGGTGAGCTAAAAACTCGAAACTAACTTGCAACTCGTGGTAACTAAAAACTGAAAAACTAAACACACGCCTTCCACAGCTGCTGCAACTTGTTATGCTAATTCGCGCGGCCGCCGATCGTGCATTTTAAGTGAATGGGAGGGTCGAGAGGGGATCGGCTGCAGGGGTGGGGGGAGTTTAACTTCTTACGCTCCACGTAACTTCAACTTTGAATGTACAGTACATGTAGAAAAGCTACCGAGCTGGAATGTGTGGTGTTCCAACGACAACAGAGTTAAAGTTTTCCACCTTTTCAGCTGGCTCCGTTTTTTCGTCTGCTACTGTTTACTGTAGTTTCAATGTACGAAAATCAGGATCGGAATTTAATTTGCACGACGTATATAATCAAGTCGATTAATTAAAATGCAAACTCATGCAGGCAAATATCTATGTGAGCAGTCACTTTCATAGGGTAAACATCTTGTCTGTAAAAGACACGTTTGGCATTTCTCTTTAGTGACAATTACGTTGTGAAACCACCACTATCGTACATGCTCCTGGCTATATAGGACACGACAAGGGTTTCCCCCTCGAGTGATCTTTAAATAAAGGTTCGACGAAACCTAAGCATGTGCGTCACTCATCGCGGCGTTCCCACGACGACGCCCCGTAACCGCGGACGCCACCGTTAACACCCGTAATGGCGACGTTACCGTGACAACGCCCCGTAACACTAACGCCAACTAACACTCGTCGCGCCGGCGGCGGTTACCGGTGAAAGAAGGCAGCTGGAATGCGGGAGCAGGAAGCTTGGTGGTGGTGGCAAGCCCAGCATCCAAGCAGCTCGCGAAGCTAGTGGCTTCATCGCTCAGGCCGCCGCTGCTGTGGTACTTGATGCCGGGCCTCAGCTTGTCACGCACGGCCCTCACCGCTGCAAGAACGAAGAGCGCCTTCACTGTTACTATACACTATACCAGGAGTCCGCGGCAAAATGAGGGATATCCGCAGTCTGAGGTTTAAAATTTAAGATTCATGCAGTAACCTGAAAAAATATGGTAGTTCTGTGAGGCCGTGCTCCGAACGAACTAAATAGTATGGCAGAATTTTCAGGGAGTCACACGGACTCCTGCACATGTCAAATCAGGGAGTCCGACAGTAAATCATTTCGCACCCTGCTGTTACTATATCAGGCTTTCAGATTTGAAAAGTACAGGAGGACTACTAATGACTCCCCTAGAACACCATAGGGGGACTTTTCACGCTCCATAATCACACCCTTAAGAGGCATGATGAAGAGCTCCACTAAAAATCACACTTAAAAGGTCTGCCATTCTTAAAAGG